TGCCAGCGTTTTTTTTTTTTAAATTTGCCAGCCACCACTAGCATTTGATTAGCTGCTCGGTTAAGTGCAAAACAGAACGTATTAGTATGAAAGCTGGTGAAGTGTAGAAGCCTTCTGTTCTTAAGACCTATATTCATAATGAAAGATAGATGAAAATGCAAAACAAAAGAGCACTTGGGTCAATCACACCCATCATCCCATCTGAACAAAACAAAAACCACCTGACAGATACAGACTTGACTTTATTGTTCATAGTAATGTATTAAAATGCCATCTATTTTTGGCCATTTTTGAGAAACAGCGTTTTATCATACGAGCCCAGTGTAGATTATGTCAGAAATTTATTATATTATACAATTCTAATGCTTAAAGGAACACTCCACTATTTTTGAAAATAGGCTCATTTTCCGATATGGCTAGGAACTATGCTGTCATTCCGGCGTAATAATCAAGGAACTTTACTGCCGTACCATGAGTGCAGCAGGCGCAATGATATTACACAGCGTAATTTTCCGTCGGTCTTAGCACACGATGTAACTACAGAAGGGTCAAGTTTTAAATAGGAAAAATATAGAAACTCTTTGGTAATTTTTGAGCGAGATGCTAACGGTCTAATCAGATTCAATGATCTATGCTAAGCTACAGCTAAAAGTGCTACCGCCAGACCCGGAGATCGACTGAATTTATTTAAAAAAAAAAGTGGAGTGTTCCTTTAAGTTAATTATATCTAAACAACAGTAGAGATGCATAATGATAAAAAATAATGCAGTTCAAATCCACATGTTTGTCAAAATAATATATTTTTGTGTACCCAATCATGCAGCCGTGATTGGAATTGGGGTTGAAACCCATGTTTTGTGCTTTCTATAGGTGGATGGTGGCATGTTGTTCTCAATCTGGACACGACTATTGCTATGACCCAGAATTTTGCAAGCACCACCAACTTCCCCATTGTGTGGCACAAGACTGTGCGAGGTCGCCCCAAACTCTCCAGAAAGTGGTACCGGTAAGACCCTGCTCTGTCTGATGACTTTACACCGATTTCTTCCATTTCACTCACTTAAGTTACTTTTTTATTAAAGATGTTTATATTTGTTCTGCTTTGCAAATGGGCCTTGTTCATTTGCTCAACAACAAACAATTTTTCCACTAATAAAGTGTCAAAACTTAGTGTTTTAAGTTGCCCAACCCTCTACAATGTGAGTAAATGACTCGCATATGCAACTAAATTTCCATGCTAGGTTAGCAAATAATGTCTATCGTTAGCCATTGGCTAATAAATTGTTAGATTTCACTCGCCTTCACTCATTTTGAACACTGCATGCTTAAAAGTTTCGCGCTCTGTATTTAAAGCGCACTATTCCAATTAATTTCAATGGATGTGCAGCATATTTGCCGCACCGTAAACTCTAGTGTGAACTGTGAAGAAGCCTGACTCGCCGTATTATTATATGGTCAGTATTATTGTTATTTTTTTTTACTGAATGACCAACAATGTCTCAAGCACCACCACCAGACCTAAGTTCAGTTGCAATGACAAATATGCATTCATACATTTTCACTCAAAATGAAGATAAGCTGATTTGGTGGAATCAATATATACATGCATATACAGTACATGCCAATATAAAGGTCAGTGAAAATATTAAGAAATGAGAAACGATAGTATTGCGCGTCATGTTCAATCAAGCTGAAAGTGTGAAAGTATGTTCCAATTTAGTACGGAATTTGTATTTTGATTATTTAAATGGGTTCGTGGTGATGTTTCTCATGTGTGTCTCAGGATCCTGAAGCAGGAGAGGGCTGATATTGCTGCTTTGGCAGATAAAGTCGATCTGCAGGAGTCAACAGGCATCGCCTCGGACAGCTCCAGTGACTCGTCGTCCTCTTCCTCCTCCAGCTCCTCCGACTCTGATTCAGAGGTACATTTTGTTCCTCCAGAGCCCCAAACACAAACTCTCACACTAGTTTCTGGACATGAGCTGCTCAGACTGATGGTGTGATACACCTGCTCACTGACTGACAAATTCTACATGTAACTAGGCCTAGGCAATATAGCTAAAAAATTTATCTCTATTAAGCTTTTTATTTTTTTTTCCATTCTGGCATTCAGTAACCTTGTGAGCAGATGGTGAAAACACTGGTTATACAGTCAACAGAAACTAGAGGGCGCAATGAATTCACATAGAACAGTACAGTACAGTGTATTATCCCCGGTTACTGTTTGGTTTAAATTCATATTCAAATATCAGAAATGATTCACAATCCTCAAAGTAAACTTTTAATGCAGGAGTCATATCTGCATTTTCTGTACATATTTCTATAACATACGTTATTAACTGTAATATAAAGATATTCAACCGCCTGAATGTACACTGGAGTCATTAAGTCATTTTAATTGATAGTTTGATTCTGCAAGGACGCCTTAAAAAGTGTTTTCAACATTGATGATAACAAGAACAACTATTAATAATTGAGCTGCGTATTAGAATCATGTAAGGATGCTGAATATTCAGCTTTATCAAATTACATTTTAAAATATATTCATATAGAAAACAGCTATTTTAAGTGGTAATAATATTTCACAATATTACTGTTTATCAAATAATGCAGCCTTGGTGAGCATAAGAGGTTACTTTGATAAAAACATTTTAAGAAAATTTAAAAACAGTAGTGTAATAAAATACAATGTACACACGTGCAATTGATCACTAATTTTAATGGCAATGGATTATGGATATTCTCGATCCCTTTCTGTCCTGCAGTAATATGTAGGGCTGCACGATTATGACAAAAATCATAATTGTCGATTATTGCCTTGAAATTGTAATTGTGATTATTAATTACGATTATCACAATTGACATTGAATGATGTTTATAGCATTGTTTGATGCAACGGCATGCCGTATTTTTATATGAAAATAAGCTGAAGACACTCTAACTGAACAACCTTTAGTGCTGTTCTATAGTATTAAGCCTCAAATGTCAACTATACATCGGATTGGTTTCTTCTTTAAATTATAAAAAAGTAAAAATATTAATGGTATTATAGTGTTATACTAAAACAATGGGAAAACCCTTAAGATAACATGTAGAAAGAAAAAAAACGCATCTTAAGCACGCAGAATAACATAAGTGGACTTTGAACGATTAAATGCCGCCTTGAACAATTACGTAACTGTGGCATCCTTAATTGTAATCGCGATTAGAAATTTTATTAATTGCGCAGCCCTAGTAATATGCATGTAATCCATTTATTTTTATACAAACGTTTCACTCCAAATCAGCGGAACCATCATTTCAATCAAAATGAGAAATTCACAACACCTGCTTAATGCAAGAAATATCACCCAATAGTTATGTTATTGACAGATTTTTACTTTCTCTGTAACTGCATTTTTGTCCTTTTTCCTGAAGGCTGACTCGGGCTCTGAGGGCGACGCCATGACCCATCGCAGAAAGAAGAGGAGAACCTGTGGCATGATGGGGAATGGAGACATCACAAGCCAGGACGACTGCGTGAGCAAAGAGCGCAGTTCGTCTCGGTGACATCCCGCTCGACAACAGAGGGGCTGCGGCCATAATCGTCTCCTAGACCATGAAACGTCACACTCTCTCTGTCTGTCACCCTCAGGAGACTCCTGTCCACTAGATAAGAGATCGCCGCTGTGTCTGATAACAAACTCAGCCCTAGTGTGCTTTTAGAGCCAAATATCCAAATGTGTGGTTGCCGGAGGAGCGTTGCATGGATGAGTGTGTGGGAGAGAAGGGAAACCCAACTGTGTTGCCTTGTCTGATGTCAGGCTCTGGACAGGAAGCTTGACGTCTCGCCAACGTCATTAATCTGCGTTTGAGTCAAACACATGCCGTTTTTTATATCTCACTGGAGGTTATGAGCAGATATACATGTCTATTGTTCCATCACTGTAATCATATTTGTGCATTTTCAAAACATCTTTTGCGCCTGTTCGGTCAGTGCTGCTTTAATAAGGTGGGCTGTTATGGAGTCAATATAATGCCACATATATATGCAAAATAATAAAGTTTTGCAAAAGA